GTCTATCTATCTAATGTTAGAATATGGATGGAAATTATTGTCGATCGTGTTTCCAAGCTTGTCGAGCCTCATCCCTTCTAAAGAACCTGGTTTAAGTCGCTTGAATTGTGGATCGACCTCTTCAATCAATACCTAGCCCTTGCTTGGGTTACATCTTGTGCTGATTATCACACTGAGCTGCTAACCAACAGATCGGTCAAATCGAAGTTCAGGGATAAGAAGCATTCCCATCAGAACGAACATTCACTTCACCAAAATGCTTAATCTGACAACTGTATAATCTCCACCTAGAAGGCTTCGCTTGCCTGTTCTGCCAGAAGGTTGCATAATATCTTCTATGGCATCAAGAAGGAGCGTTCGTTGCCATATGGCATATGGTAGTAATAAGGTGGCAATGCCGGCCTCCTGAACTATTCACTAGAGTAAAATCTTTCTCTTACTCGAAAGCGGTGAGCTCTGGTAAGATATCTTGTACTGCGCCCTCTTTAAGATCTTCATTTTTGTTGAGATTGAAGGAAGCAATGGTGAATAGCCTGAAAAGGAATTGGCAGACAGACTGCAAGTGGCAGTTTACTGTCATACACTGTTTCTTCAGACGTTTTCCACAATATCATATATCCACATTCATGGTAATTAATCCTTGAAAATCGCATTCATTCTTTTATGAGGTGTCAAGAAAACCTGATCTGTCGTCCAACACAAACATAAAAAAACACACAGCTGTGGTAAACAGCATTTGCAAGGCTAATTGGTTATATTCATAATAGCGAGAGCCGTCTCATTTTACAAGTTCCACACTTAATAAAACAGAAATGAAAACACAGCAAACAAGACAGATAATCTCATTGCGTTTTAAAACATTTCTTATCGATTATCATTTTAAAAATTTATTGCCATTATATATGTTGCATACAATCTGTTCAGCGACTTGGTTCGCACTGGATCCATTTTTAGGGGACAGACGTCACAAATGTCTACAAAAGCAATCTCTGCAATCTGTGACGATGGATTCATTGTAATCTAAAACGTATAAAAAAATTTATATAATACAGGTTTACATAGAAAACATTATATAAACTATCTCAGGGTTAAGAACGAGAGAAACATCGTAGTCCAATGAATACTCTTTCTCAGCTGTTAAAAATAAAAGTTCTGGATGGTCTGAAACAGGGCGATGAGTTGTCGAAATTAAACCTAAAAATTTAGCGCTATGAATATACTGGTTAAGATCTGGTTATAATTTGTCACTCCCTCTATGTATTTCGCACATATGAGAACGCTTGCGGCCGGCCATGTCAGTTGTAGCCTGACGATACTATAGCATATAGAAAGCAAAATCGATTAGAAATAAGGTATATCTGCTTTTTTTGATACCCTGAACGATGAATCACCAAAGTAAGATATTAAAAACTGCTTGCTAAATTTATTGATCATATTCATTACTTAAGCACTGATATAAAAAATTTATAAATCATACAGTACTTATATACGATGATGATGAAGAATACACTCGGGAAAATTAAAGCGGTTTGTAGTCTAGTTTCGTTTCCAACTTTTTCGCGTCGCCCACTTTTCTAACCGCCTTCATGAAATCTTCCTCGATGACGTACTCCCGTTCGGCACGAATGGCGAAAAGACCTGCTTCGGTGCACACGTTTCGTAAATCGGCACCACTGAAACCGTCCGAGAGCTTGACGATCGCCTCGTAGTCGATGTCGCCATGTTTCGTGATAGGACTGGCGTGGATCTTCAAAATCTCCAGTCTCGCCTGCTCGTTTGGAAGCGGAATCTCTGACAAAAAATATCAACGATTTTCTGTTGCTGCAATAAGCTGATTTTCAAGTAAAGTTATTACAACAGAACTAAAAGTATAATACAGTGCCATAATTCTTCAATAGTGGAGACAGAGATAAACAAAATTTTACATAACTTTCACATTTCTCTGCAATCGTGGTAACCATAATGATGCAATGCTTTCTGTCAATTCCTGGCGTTATCAACAGAGCATGATTATATTAGGTCCGCTGTTCGATCTCTGATCAGAAACGCAGCCATTTAAAAGTGCCTACATTTAACCATTATTAATGAAGGAAAATGTGGAGTGTCAACATTACGTATCCCTCCATCGGACCACAACACTTACTCTACACAAATTTAGCCTCTTTCTGAGTTCTTTGATGACTGAGCTTCTTCTTAACGGGTAGTGATGCATACAGTCATTCCAGAGAAGCTCAGTTGGGTTCTGAACTGGAGATTTAGTTCCTCCATGCCGCTTTCTTATTCTTTTTATCATGCCAATCAATACGGTACTAATATTAACCGTATACGGTTCAAAACCATATATGCTAAATGTCATATC